GCTCAATTTAACACTGTCTTTGCATGGGCTGATTCTGTGAGAACAGCACCATCTGGTGGCCTGAAATATGTACTACAGCGTCTCCCGCGCTTTCGAACGGCAATGTCCGTGGCTGTCTCCTCCTGATTGGTGGAGTTGGCCCAATAGCCGTAGCGCCACTTCTGTGACGTCACAGAAGTGTTCAAATCTGGATCAGTCTGTATCAGATCCGTTGCAGCCCCTTTTTAAGAGATTTGGATATGGAGGAAAATAGAGAGGGTTGTGTTTTCTGACACTTGGTGAGTTCCCTGGAACACCGGGGACACATATTCATTTATAAAAGACGTACAAAAGTGCATTTTGCATGATAGGTCACCTTTTAAAATTGGATTTTATATATTGAAAGTTGTTTCAAGACAACCAGAATAAACTAGTTTCCTAGTCTTCCAGTACGTCCTCCCTACCTGGTTGTGGAGCTGGAGGCACTGCTGCAGGGCGTGATCACGTCGTCTTTTTGGGGAACACGGAAGCCAGCCAGGTTCAGAAGGTCCCTGATCATCTGACCTTTCACTGCGACATCCAGCGCTGTGTTGGAATGAAGACTGGAGCGGAAACACAACATTAGAATAGTAGTTTGAAAATCTTGATGTGTTTTGTGTTTATGGGTGTGTATGTTACCTTGGTGATATGTTGACTTCCAGGATCCAGGGTTTGAGCTTCTCATCGAGCATGATGTCGAAGCCGAACAGCTCGTGGCAGCTGTAAGGTGTCCTGACGTGCATCTTCAGCAGAGTGTTAACGTACGGTTCGGACCTGATAATCCACACACAGGCCATTATCTCAAAGTTATTATCATTTTATTTCCAAAATACTTTTTCTAACACATTTGCAGTCATTCGACACTTCGGCTCCGGCAGTTAAGACAGAGATTCCTCTGAGTTCAATGGTAAGGGCTGTGTCAGAAACACACAGACTTTAAAATCATTATTTTCCAGAAAAACAGAAAAATATAAAAATTGTGAATAATAAAATGTGCCCTACAATGAGAAACTTACGCAATGATTGTTTTGATCACAATGTCTTTAATCTTCTCCCAGATCAGAGTAGTGTTGACTCCTTTGGAACCCAGAAAATGCCACAAGGCCTTCAACGCCCTGAAGAAACACATATAATATTAATGAATTATAATGTATAGCATAGACATATGAATACAATAGTAACCAAGATGTGTCTCATATTTGAGTTTCACTTTTACAAACCATTTGTGCCCCTGGCAGGCCTGGTCGTCGCTGTTGCTCTGGTACTCAGAGTTCTTCTTGTTGACGCTATAGTTGGTCAGATGCATGAACTTGTTACCCAGAGTCTTCATGGAAGACGAATACCTGAAGAGAAGAAACTTTGAATTCAATCTAATATGCCCTCTATCATCAGCTTTTTCTCAAGTCTCTGACACATCTAAATGTCCAATCAGCCATTTAGATTTGATGATCATATTTGTCACATCCTATTACCTTTTCCTGCTTAAATGAAAGATTTGCACCTTGAGCATCATTTATTTCCATTTTACATAACCTATCCTACAGTATCTGGCCTTGTTGTCACTGTGGTGGATGAAAACTGACTTGCAGCTGGCGAATCGAACCAGTCCATCAGAGAAAATGTAAACTCTGAGCGGGTCGTAGGATGACACGTAGACGTAGATCCGCAGGTCAAACTTGTTACCGCTGATGAGGTAGGGCTTGTGAAGGTACCTGCCAAACACAACCAGGAAACAAATGCTTTATCCTAAAGAATCCTTTAGTGTTGCGTTCTGGAAAATGGTCGATGTTCTACTAAGTTTCAAACTATTAGCGGACTACTCTTGGCTACTTACTTCTGGACCAGCAGTGGTCTCTTGCGGGGCAGCTGGCCCCATCTGTGGATGACCTGGATACCGATTCCTCGGGCAGAAGCAGGCTATCAAAAGGAGAGAAGAAAGACAGAATTTAATAAACAAAACAACACATTTTCTTTAACTTCAAAACATTTTTTTCTTAAGCATCAAGATCTGGAGTTATAAGTTGGAACTAATTGCCAAATCGTTTTTTACAGCAATTAAAGCCAATTATCGTCATCATTAGAAAGAACATCTTGCTATAAGGCAACTAAAACCAAAAAGACACAAAAAACATAGAAATAAATAAGCCATCCTTACAGGAAAGCATAAATATGACTTTCTGCCAAGTTTGTAATTCAACACCAGCTGATGTTTTGTTGCCAATAAATCCAAAACACAATTCATTTAGTCCATGGTTATTTTGCCAGTGATGTGTTTGTCTGTGTACAAGCAGAACATACCGGTTTGATGATCCATTTCTGCCGGGGGCCACCGTCCTCCCAGGCCTTTCGTAGAATCTTGATGTCCTGAGGAAGGACGAAGGTGCGAGGGAAAAAGCTGAACTCTTGTTTGCCGAAGCGAACCTGCATCTTGGACAGGTTCCTCCACAGCCGGTCCTTTCTGCCGATCTGGAACGTTCCCGGGAAGTGGTTCAACTGGGACAAAAGAAAAATCACAAAAACAGCCAAGTTAATACTTTTTTGGGACAGAAGATGTAAAGAGCACATTTCATAATTACACTTAAGATAAAAGGGACTGCTGCCCAAAAGTACATATTTACCGTCTGACCATAAGTGCTATTAAGATTGGGGCAAGAAGGAAGTGTTCATGTACTCATGGACATTGAGACTAATAGTTGAATGTTGCTAGCTCATCTACTGTACATAGCCCCTCATTACTGAAGAGGACGCAATTCATGTGTACATTTCACGCTGCAACAAGCAGGAACCTCTATACCAGGACTATTCAATTAGTTTGGAATGCGGCCGGTTGATGAAAATGATCCAAAGCAAGGTGCCGGGGAAAAGATGGCTTGAAATATAAGCAATCATATTAAGAGCTTCAGATACAGTAAATACTACAACAGCATAGTGCATATATTGTGTTTAATTAAATCAAACAGCAAAGCCCCAAGGCCTTTCTAGATCTAAATGGCAAGTTCAGAACTCAGTAGGCCTACATGTGAAGCTAATTGACAGTAGCTAGTAGGTGGGTTCGAAACCCGAGCCCGCCAGTTTTCAGGCAATGTCTTCCACTCTATCTCTCAATTTAACACCCTCTCTGGAATAAAGGCACTCTGGCCCAAAAAAAAATAAGAAAAAAGTAGATTACTTTTTAACATTATACTCAAAGGGCCAGTAAATATCACCCCGGGGCCGCCAATTGAATAGCCCTGCTCTATACCATGAATAAATAAACGCTTCCCTTCGGTGCTGTGACATTGGGCAGGTGCACTTAAAAGTAAATAGTTCCTTGATGAAACTGCTCATAACAGGGTCTGTGGATTATCTTAAGTAACCATGTCATTTTGTTTTGACATGCCCTCTCGTTCCATTATATTCAAGAGGAATCAAACATCTACAAATAATTGACATCTCGCACCTAAACCTCTAGATTATTCTATACATTTAATAAATACAGTTTCTCACCTTCTGGTGCTCTGCGAGGGCCTTGAAGCCAGGAGACTTCATGTGGTGTCCCCAGCAGCCCAGCCAGTCATAACTTTCTAATAAACAAAAGAAGGACACACACATTTGAATTACTCAGAGAAAATGTGACATGATTTTAGAAGCAATGAACTAGAACACATTACAAAGATTTTGACAAGAGATATGAAACCGTGTCCGTCATGTGATGACTTACTTTTGGTAGCCTTGAAGTGTGACCTGCCAATGGTGTGTTTGACAATATTTGGAGTGACGTTGCTTATCTTCCATTTTAACAGTCGTCTTTGTTCAGCTGGCAGCAGTTCCACTGAGGATCACACAGCACAACATGTGTACACATTTACAACTGGGTTTTTAAACAAATACATACACATTGTGCTTACATATACTTCATGCATAATGCAAAAACTGAAATGGTACATACTTAAGAGAGTCAATATTTTGGTATAAGATGTAAGCTTACAGTACAATCTTTGGTACCACTTTACAATAAGACTACCCTTATAAAGGGTTTACGAATAGTTTGTAATTCATTGATTAATTAGGTTGTGAACACTTTATAAATCATTAATAAGCTTTTATAAGACATGAGATAAACAGGGCAACTGTGACCGGTTGCTTGCCAAATAGTGAGCCCACATTTATCTGTACTACTAAGCCTTATTAGAAATGGTAGTAACTCATTAATAAANGGGATGTTAAGAGCATTCCATGGAATATAACAAAAAGTGTATCTCGAGCCGGTTTCTCAAACTTACCTACCCCACCTGAGTCAATATTTTGGTATAAGATGTAAACTTACAGTCAATCTTTGGTACCATTTTACAATAAGACTAGCCTTATAAAGGGTTTACGAATAGTTTGTAATTCATTAATTAATTAGGTTGTGAACACTTTATAAATCATTAATAAGCTTTTATAAGANGATGGAAGGGGGGGGGGAATCAACTCAGTGAACAACAGATACCAAGGATGCTGGCTGATGAAGGAGACGAAGTACGCTAGGTAGCCAATATAAGACTTAGCAGTACAGATAAATGTGCGCTCACTATTTGGCAAGATGACTAAGTCTTATATTGGCTACCTACAGTAGCTTACTTTGTCTTCATCAGCCAGCATCCTTGGTATCTGTTGCTCACTGAGTTGATTCTCGCTAAGTAGCAAATATAAGGCTTAGTCATCTTGTCAAATAGTGAGCCTGTGTTGATGTCGGAAAACTATGTTAGAACTGGTTTATAAATGGTTCTTAATGATTAATAAAGTGTTTACAACCTAATTCATAACCTAATAGAGTGCCACAGTGACGCGTCCTAAAACCCGGGAGTCAGTTAGCATTTTACTACTTCCGGTTCCTTCGACAAAATCCTATGGAGAAATTGCATTGGTTTTTGTCGAAGGAACCGGAAGGAGTTTGCTTCCGGGTTTTAGGACGCGTCACTGTGGCACTCTATTATAAACCCTTTATGAATCCTTTATAAGGGTAGTCTTATTGTAAAGTGGTACCCAATTTTTTATAAAACAGCAATCACACTTGAAAGAAAAAAAGATAAAACCCAAATCACACTTAAAGCTACTAAATCAAAACAGACGTTCGGGTCCTGACCTTTCTCATCGGCAGTGCTGAAGTACAGTGTTGGTGGGATTTGAGGGAACAAACTGGGAACCAAAGCTGGTCTCTCCTCTCGATGATCGTCCGCCTCCAATGACATCGGCTCCTCGATACTAAGAGAAAGAGGGAGGAATAATGATAAATCATAAAATGACTGTTCAGAACTAAAAAGGGAACTCCACTTCGATCGATAGAATTACTAACAAAGAATTGCTAACAGAGCACTTATATACTAATAAAGGACTGGCTTATCTAAAGCCAGTTGAGTAGCACTTGAAATGTTTTAGCTGAAACCTGATTTACTTATATGATTCTGTTTTCTTCAAGTTTGTATCTTGTTGGTCGAACGCACTTATTGTAAGTCGCTTTGGATAAAAGCGTCNAGGAAGTGCCATACGCACTTTCCTCGCCGGTACGCAATGTTTGGTGAATCGGAAAATGTATAGACCTATTTTTCGGATTTCTACTACGTAAGCAACCTTCTCACGTCAATCCTACGCACGGCGTTATACATGAGGCCCCTGACCTTTCCTTGTTTTGTATTCTTAGCCTGAGACTGCAGACTGTTCCTCCCTGCCATCAGTGCCTCATCTATGCCGTTCTCTCTGTGACCATCAGGGGGCAGCATTGGGAGATGCCTCCAGCACTAAGGACGCAAAAGTAGAAAAAAGAAGCACAGGAGAAACAACAACTATGAGATGGAGCCATTCTGCAAAATCAAAAATATGCAGTCCGACACAAAGCAGTTGCACAATAACTGCTTTAAACAAAGAGCTGCGAGTAATAGGTGGTCCTCCAGCAACGACAAACTGCAAGCCCAAAACAGTAGTATCCATTGACCTATACAAGCAGGCCCCAGACAGTCAATGTCCACAGGAAAGAAGCTTGTCCACATGCAGAAGAATCAGCCCTGCAGCAGCCTGTCCCTTTCCAAATAGCCCCACGCCAACTGTGCTCAGTGCCAATGTCCGTGCCACTCAGGAGCAGCAGCCCTCCCCACAGAATGCCATCACAGGTAATCAGAATTATTACTTTACTGGGAAATGTGCTAGAACTAGGGAACGATACATTGTCTGGTTATTGAATCCTCTGTAGAGCTGAAATGAAAAGTTAATTGATCGATTAGTCACTTGACAGAAGAATAACAATTTTCATAACAAATTCAGTGTTTAAATAGTTTTTCAAGCTGAAACAGAGAACTGTGTGTGTTCACATGCCTGTCCGCCCTGTATGACTAAGATGTTCTTTCCCTTGTAGCTGTGGCCTCCAGTCCATCAGGAGCCATGATGGGCTCTGTGACGTCTCAGATCTCTGCCATCCATCTAACCAGGCAGGCTTCCTCTCCTCTCGCTGCCTCACCCTCACCAACGGAGGAGTGCCCGGTTGGAGAGGCTGAACCATCTAGGTGAGCAAAAGCTATTTGCTTCTCAATCAGAAGATACTGTTTTTCACTGTCTATATCTGACCTTATATTCATTGTTTCTAGCCAGGACTGTGTTCTGCAGCTGGATGGAGCTGAGGAGGAGCTGGTTGATGATGAGATGGAAAATGACTGTAGTGATGATGGTAAGATGTTAAATACACACAGACTACACACTCTGAGTACTTCATCAAATGTAAGCTGCCATCAGCCAGTTAGCTCTATAGTTTGTATTGTATAGACACTGATTTTAGTTGTCTTGTTTTCTTTTCAGATAACTCCGACTGTTCATCCATAGCTGGCACCTCGTCCACAGCATCCATCGCTCTACTTTCTGGGTTAGATGCACCTCTATAACCCCACCCCCCCACACACATTTCTTTTAGGTTAACATTCATGGTACCCATAAGAACACGGACTATTCCTGATGCAAACTCTGTGGAGTACAGCTGTTTTCTTGCACAATGAAAATGTGTTTTTGGACAGTTTTCCAGACACGTCTGTTTTTCTTTCTCATAGAGCAAATAGCCCTCTGTTTCTCTAAAGTGTGAATCCACATGAACTCTGAGTCATGCTTGCTGTTTCAATAATGTAGTCCTATTTTTCCCTCTTGTGGTACTTAAGTGTATACCTGACGAGGAGCAGCAATCATTGTCGGCAGCCATGCAAATTCTAATGATATACTTCCTGTATTAATTTATAAACTATATACATTTATAGGGTGTTTCTCAAGCCCCTCTCAGGTTTTATTATGGTCATTTAAATAACTGATGGTCAGATAAAATGATATCTATCAATAACAACAATGTTTCTCAGTATGTAGTGTACCTTTTTTAAACGTTTTTCGTCCAGACAATAGACAAGTTATTGTGGTTTGAAAGCGTTTTTCTCAACTGCTAAAACAACTTCAAAATGGCCACGTCCTTTCCTTGGAACGCCCAACATCCAAGCCTGGATTTGAATTGGTTTCCTAACATGGAATAAAACTAAATCCATCAGATCCTGTGCACTCTTTCTCTCTCTCTCATTCTCTCTCACTGCAATTGTTGAAAGAGTCTGAAAGCAGCAGAGCGTGGTGGAAAGGTCTGCTGCTTTGTGGGTCATTTTGTTCTCCACTATGATGGCCTCAACAATAGAACTCCCGACCAAAGACTCGGAGCTGATTCTCTGTGAAAACAGCCTGGATAGGGATATTGTCACCTTTTTTTCACCCAACCAGCTGATTTTGTTTGTGTTCATTTGCATACACCCCATCACCTGCACACCCTTTCCTAAGCTAAAGCACCTGTATCTCTAGTATAGTGTTAAGTTAGCCTAGTACAGCTGTTATGCAGATGTGTACCTCTTGATGGTAGAAGGACTTTATTGAAGAGAAACAATCTGCAAGGAGATAACATCATCCCGTTTCTTGATCCATCTTTTCTTCCTATATGACTGTCATGTGAGTTTTTTTACTCTGTGTTTTGGTTCTAATTATTTTGTGTGCAGAATGGTGTTAAATTGAAAAAAGAGCTCAGGAATATTCTAATGTTTGGCTTACTTGAAACTGCCTAAAACGAAAAAACACTTTACGGCTGCGTAAAAATGACTCGCCGTTGATTCAACCGGCTCTCGTCTTGCTCCAGTGTTATTTTGTTGAGGTTAATTATGTCCTCATTTGCTGTCCTGGCTAAATGTCTTAGTCTCTCTACTAATAGTAATCCTTAACGTTGGATTGAAAAGTGTCCTTCTTCAGAAAGCCTTCTTCATATGTATCGACTCAGTGTGAACATGAACTCTCCGTGTGGTGTACACCAAAACACGCGTCATGTTACTACCGGATACTGCAATCGGTCATCAATCCAGTCCACACTCTACTCAATTTTGACTGGATGCCAACTTCTGGCACTGAACGTAACACTAGATGCATTACTTTTTAATTTAGTTGTGAGCAATTTGCTTGTTTTAGTTGTGACAAAGTAAGAAGAGCTGTGGCGCTGAGAGGGCGGGAACTGGGCTGACTTCAGAAGGAAACAGAAAGAGTATGTGTAGATATAGTAATTTATGAGTTTACAGAGTTTATACTTCATTACCTATAATGTTGTAAGATGTCCCTTTACGACACATGTCTCACTCACTGTTGTTGATGTATTTGTTTGAGATGAGATGGTTTTGTTGAGATTGTTTATAGTGTACTAGTGATACACCCAAAATGGTCCTTATCAGAAGTTTCTGACGCGACCATCACAATGCCACCTTTTCCATTACATTACATTTAGCTGACGCTTTTATCCAAAGCGACTTACAATAAGTGCGTTCGACCAACAAGATACAAACTTGAAGAAAACAGAATCATATAAGTAAATCAGGTTTCATAGAGCCAAACATTNCATTTCGAGTCGGTTGTGATTTATAAAGGGAAACAGGCGTAGGAAGTGCCACCACTTTCCGATTCACCAAACATTGCGTACCGGCGAGGAAAGTGCGTATGGCACTTCCTACGCCTGTTTCCCTTTATAAATCACAACCGACTCGAAATGCGGTGCAGCTTTTGCGGGCTTCACGTAACGCCCATGTTTGCCTATAAATAGTCAAAGAAACGTCCTTTCATTCATTCATCCACTGCATGGATAAGATCGCAGGAAATGACGACAGCTAAAAAAAACATCTCACATCGTGTCAGATTTTGGTTATTTTGGGGAGGTCGAGGTAAATCATATTGTTTGGTGGATGCAGTTTGAACCAGAGTAGCAGCATGGAGGTCGGATCGTCACCAAAATAAATAAATAAGTGGTCCGAAAAAGGTTAATGACAAAAATAATACACATAGCCTTCCTCAGGCAGTATGTTTGTACCGGGGCCAGGAGACCCCCCCCCTTGATGAGAAACTGTAAGAAATGATCGGGGGATCCCTCCGGAGTGGAGTCATGACGGCTGGATCTGAATTATGTTTTTGTATTTGGCGGTTTGTGTCCCAGCTGTCGATCAGCTGTGCGCAGCATCTCCACTGCAGCCTGTGCATCTCAACCCCCCCCTCCGCAGCAACTCTATATCCACCAGTTAAAGGAAATACAACTAATGTGTTCAATTTACCACATATGGGTGCTCTTAGTTTCCATACCTCCTGTGTTTTACGAGCGACTTATCAAGTCTTGGCAAACGGCATAAAAACGATTAAACATGTATTAAACATAAAACCATGCTCGTATCTACAACCTATAGAAATGCAAAACGGCGTCAGTTTAGACGTAATTCTGTCCTCTTGCTTACCGCGACATTTATGAGAAAACATTTCATAACATTAACACAACATATTCGAGGTGGTTTTAAATAACATATCCGTATTTATNCTCTCTTTCTACTCTTTCCATTTTCGAGCAATTGGTGTTGGGCAACTTGGTGGCGTGACTTTTGGGTGCTGGAGAGCTGCTTTAGGGTCACCTCGTAGCTTGTGAATAGTGTCCATGCTTTCTTGCTGTTTTTTGACAGTCTGGTGGACTCTATTGAGCTGTCAGGTCTTGCTTCGCTTTTGGGCAATGCTGTGTCATGATGAGTTTTCACGTTAAAGCACAGTTAATGTAGGTTACATATTGAGATGTCTCAAATATACGTTATCAGTGCACCTGCTTAGATCAGGGTGGTGGATGATAGGTTTACATCTAAAAATATTTTTCAAACATATTTTAATGAATTTTTCTTTTGTTACTTTTTTTTTAACGTCCGCGATCTACCCGCACCACACTCCGATTTGAGCCGGTCGATCGCGATCGCGACTGGTTGGCGGACCACTGCTCTATACGTGTGGTACATTCTGTGAGTGGCGAGCTGACCGTCAGGCAGGCGAGTTAACGTGTTGGCCCGACGGTGGTGAAAAATGGGGGTTATGGGCGTGGGATAAGAATGCGCCTTTGTTAAAAGTCTGCGCCTTTTGCGGATGAGCGTAAATTCGGCGATCGGCAGTCGCGTGTTCTGGAGCTAACCGCGGTGCATGCGCATGTAAACAGAGGAAGTTTGTGCCAGTGCGCTGCCAACTTCCAGGATAGAGAATGACAAAACTAACGGAGCTGTAAGTATCCGTGCATCCTACTTTGATGGTTCTATTGGTTCGTGCGTCTACTCACGAGAACAGATAACCGAGCGTGAGCTTGAGCTTCAAAAAAGACGTCAATAGTATGGCACGCGATGAAACATGTAAGAAACAATGAATAATTATTACACTTGAATACACATTACATTTAATTATGAACATGTAAAGGCTGACTTACAATATGTATTATTTATTTTCCAGTTATGTTTTTGTGTGCACTGAGGAGTTCTCAACAGGCGTTTTTTTAAATCATTTAAAATGGCTTTAATCAATGTTGAAATGAATTCTTTTCATATATGATTAATGAGAGCGTAACATTTTATTTATGGTATTATTTCCACATATTTCTCTATTCTTCCTGTCTGCAACGGTTCGCAGTTTCTCGTCTCTCCCGTGTTGTGCTTAGTGGCGTACGCATGGGTTACTTTGCGTGGAGGACCGCACCATTTTCCAGTTAGTATGTTATGAAATCAGCACACTGCGTAAAGACTGCCGTACGCCATTTTTTGAGCGTATATCCTTTATCAGATGAGGCCGCCTGGGCATTCTGATGAGAGTGATATGACAGATGTATTTAAGGTAGATATTGTGCAAAAATGCGAGAGAGGAAACCTGATTTTGAGCACTTGCAGAAAACAATCTGAGTTTGTGGTGATACATTACAGCTTGTATAAAATATCCACGTAACTGGTGAACCAAATGTACACTTGTATTAATATCCACGTGACTTGAACCAAATTTCTGAAGTCACAGAAGCTTGAGTGAAAAAAAATGAACTTAGTGATGACAATATTCCTTGCAGAAATAATACATATTTTTTGTCCAAGCTTCTGTGACTTCAGTTTGGTTCACACAGATCACGTGGATATTTTATAACAGTGTACATTTGGTTCACAGTTACGTGGATATTTTATACACAGTGTAATGTATGCACACAAACTCAATTTCTTTTTCGTGCAAGTGCTTCCATCAGGTTTTACACGCTTCTCGCATTTTGCCACCATATCTACCTTAATAATACTGTCATTATCATCTCTCTCAGAATGCCCAGGGGGCCTATTTATAAAGGGATATCGGCTCAAAAAAATGGGACGGCAAGTTTTACGCAACTGTTTGCCGATTATAAAATACTCCTGGGAAAATGTGCGGTCCTCCCGCAACTAACCATGCGTAGACTAAGCACAAACACGGGGAGAGAGAGAAAACCTGCGACACCGTTCACGGGCAGAGAGGATAGGAATGTGAGAGAAATTGTGGAATGAATACCATTAAATAAAATGTTACCCTCTCAATTATCATCTTGAAGGAATTCATTTTCAAACATTGATTAAAGCAGATTTTAAATGATTTACAAACGCCTGTTTGGAGACTCCTCAGTGCACACCAAAACATAAACTGGGGATGAACTAAATAAATCGGTATATTGTAACGTGCAGGCCTTTACAGTTCATAATTTAAATGTACTGTGTATTTTCTAAAGTGTAATATTATTATGTTGTAATGTTTCAATTGCGTGCCATATTGCGTCTTTTATTTTGAGTAAGCTCACGTCTTTTCACATTATGCTGTTTCTCGCGTGAGTTAGAGGAGCGAGACATGAGACGCACCCTCAAAGTAGGATGCAGGAGTATTACAGCTCCGTTTAGTTTTGTATTTTAACATATACTGTTAAGTTAGTTGAGAGAACTGGAGAATACTTCCTCGGTTACAGGAGCATGCATCCCAACGGGTATAGGACCCTTCCAGAAAACGCGAGCGGCGATCGCAGATTTACCGCTATCAGGCAAATGGCCGGCAGATTTTGAAAGGCCGCATATTTTATCAAAAGCCAATAATCCCCGCATGTTTTCCACACAAGTTGAGAAAGAAAAAAAAGTTAACTCGTCTTGGACGTGAGTCTCAGCTCGCGCATCCAGAATGTAACACACTGTTATCGAGCAGTGGTCGCCAACCAGTCGATGCGATCGCCGGCAATCCGCGAGTGTGGTGCGGGTAGATCGCGGACCGTTAAAAAAAAGTAACAGAAAAGAAAAATTAAATTAAATTAATGTTTTGAATATTTTTTTAGATGATGAAACCATTTTATTTTATTAGATGTAAACCTTCATCCACCACCCTGTTAGCAGGTGCACTTGATTAACGGTATATTTGAGAATCGACTAATGTATTGTGTGGGTGTACTGTGCTTTACGTGAACCCTCATATGACACTTTGCATTGCTCCCAAGAGCGAAGCAAGACCTGGAATGCCTTTAGAGTCCACAGACATGTTTTTTTTAAGCATGTAAGAAGCAGGACAATTTATTCACAAGTTACGAGGTGACCCTAAAGCAGCTCCTCAGCACCCCAGAAAGTCTTCGGCCAACCAAGTGTGTTTATAATTGGCGTGTTTTGTGTGTGTGTGTTTTCTGAGTTGTGGAATATGTGTTGGTTTTTTTTCCTCCTTTTTTTTTTGTTTATTGTTTTTTTTTATGGGAGATTGGTCTTTTTCCCTCTATTTCTACTCTTTCCCTTTCGAGGCAATGTGGTTTGGTGGCCGTGGACTTTGGGGTGATGAGGAGTGCTTTTTGTAGGTCACATCGTTAAGTGTGAATTGTTGTTGTGATGCTG